TGCGTGAGAATGGGAGTGTTGCTGCTTGTGCACAGTGTAAGAGCATTTGTATTGTGAGGTAATTATTATAAGAAAATGTTGTGAGGTAAAAGTTTTATAAACTCTTACAAACGTACATGAATGAACTAAAAGCAGACACATATTAATACGCATTTATTTCGCCTGACAAAGTGATCGCCCACTACCTGTTCAGTTTGTGTTCTAACATTGTCTCAACTCTGTATCTTGTTCTCTCTCTCGTTTACTCTTTCGTTAACTAGTTGGCTCTCACTGATGATGGCATCTAAGGTTAGCTGTGATAAAAAGAGAAGTCGTAAGGCTCTTGCTTTAAGTTAGAGGATGATGGTGTGCCATTCTCAAAGGCCCTACCTGAAAACTCTAGAAATGCAGACACATTCAACACCTTCAAAACTACCATTAGAAAACATCTTATCTCCCTGATACACCCCGTCAACTAATTACACGAATACCACCTGGTGGTTCACACTTACACTCACTCACCCATTTGACCATAAACAGAAATATCAATCTCAATCTTAATGTCAATCTCAATCTTAAAATAATGAATCCTAACTAGTCATAAGTTGGCCTGTGATACTCCAATACTGAAAACAATACTGAAACTATGTATTGTGCCAAAACAAAAGCATTCACATTGCTAAACTCACAAACTAGTATTTAGTTACTTAGCCATAATACCAACTTACCTCATAATTTGTAATATTTTAAATTTAAGAATTAATCTAAGTCTGCCCGAAATGCCTAGCCATGCTAGGTGTTCTAGTGGCACCCTCTGTAATTAGTACTTTACTACATGTAAACCACACAGTAACCAAATTCTGTAAACTCAGCATTGTAATCCTTATAGAGAATAAACTTTGAATTTGAATTTGAATAAACACCCTGCCACTTACCTCTCACACATTAATATTAATATTTTAAGGTAAATAATAAGTGTACTCTGTGTGTATCTTACCTTTTATTATTATTTTTTTTTTTTTTGCCTATTTCTATTGTTAACTTAATATAAGTTAGTGTAAACTTGTTGTCTGGCATTTATTGCATATTTTATATGTGCTCTGATAATAATACTTGTGGACCTGTGTGGTAGCCAGGCAGAGGTATAACATTACGTTTTCTCTGGACAGGCACCAGAGAAAACGTGTATGAATCTGCGTTTGGGCCCAGCCACTTCCCCACTCTACTTTTGTTTACAATTTTCGGCATGAATTATTCATTACTTCTCCCTTTGTTTATGATGGCATCTAAAGGTAGTTGTTAGAAACGATTAAATTCAGTGAACAAGGTATGTCGATGCTAATAATATGGCTCTGGGCCACAGTGTAGGTCGCCGGTAGGTGTAGCCCAGGCAGGCTACACCTGCCAGCTGCCTACACTGACTTCCTACAAATAAATACTACTCACCTCTTTTCCTACATTAAGGCTACACGTATTTTAAGGTAAATAGTGAGTGCACTGTATGTGTATTTTAACTCTCTGGGATGTTTTAAATATTGTATATTAAGTATGAGACTGGGAGCCAGGGCTACCTACACCAGACTTCCTACAAATAAGTGCTACTCACCTCTCTCCCTACATTAAGATTACAAATACTTCAAGATAAGTAATAAATGTACTGTGAATGTATTTTGCTTTTTGTATTTTTAATGCCTAGTTCTATTATTAACTTAATATAATTTAGTGTAAACTTGTTGTCTGGCATTTATATGCATTTATAAATGGAAAAAATGGCTTTCTGCTTTCCAGCGATATCTGCTCTCCGGCGATAGCCTGGAACCTAACCCACCGTATAAGGCCCTACTGTACTCTGTTCTAGATATTATCTCCTCCAGTTTTCCATAATGGAGTAGTTGGAATTTGTCCTCATTGAACATCATATTGTTTTCTGTTGTCCATTGGAAAACTTGGTTTATATCTTCTTGGAGGTTAACCGTGTCCTCAATAGATGACAGTCTCATGCAGATCCTAGTATTGTCTGCAAAGGATGATACGGTGCTGTGGATTACATCTCTGTCTATGTCTTATATGAGGACGAGGAACAGGATGGGGACGAGTACTGTGCCTTTTGGAACAAAGCTCTTCACTATGGCAGCCACCGATTTAACTCTGTTGACCACTACTCTTTGTGTTCGATTGGTTAGGGAGTTGAAGATCCATCTCCCCACTTTGCCAGTTATTCCTTTAGCACGTATTTTGTGCACTATTATGCCATGATCGCACTTGTCAAACGGTTTTGCAAAGTCTGTGTATATTACATCTGCGTTCTGTTTTTCTTTCGTTGCTTCCAGAACTGGAGGTTCATCATTTTATTAACAGTCTGGATACAAATGCACTCTAAAATGTACTCACATAAACCCACCAATAAAAAAATCCTCAAATACCTTCCCTAACCAGAAGAGTTGGTTGACAAATCTTGTTTCTCCTGGGCAATGTTCAGCTGTGGCTGATTATACGAAAATGTTCATAGTACGTATAGTTGAATCCCCAAATTTGCAAGTTCCTTAATATTTTTGCTTCACTTATCCAGGAGACTTCCTTGAGTAAGTTTGATTACCTATGAGTTTTTCCACAGTACCCCTTGTTTTGGGCTTGGTGTACAGCCTCTTAATTGAAAACTAACCATTGATTTGTTAAAAAAAATATGCTTAATGGGTTCCCCATGGGTTTTTAATGGGTTTTCAATGTTGCAATGGGGAGGAGGCTAGAGGCAGTGAAGATTCGGAGAAAGTGTGGTGTTGCCAAAAGTATTATTCAGAGGGCTGAGGAGAGCTTAAGGTGGTTTGGACATTTAACCCTTTCAGGGTCGACAGGCCCTCTCAGAGACTTGTTCTCAGGGTCGCCCAAATTTCAAAAAAAAAAAAAAAAATTCTCATGAAAAGATAATCTTTTCCCAATCATAATGAAACCAAAAATATGAAATTTGATGGAAAACTTACGGAATTATGCTCTCGCGAAGTTAGTGGTCTCGACGATGTTTACACATCGGCAATTTTGCCCATTTTGAGCCCTGTTTTCGGCCAATTCCACTATACTAGTCGACAAAAATCATGAATATTTCGCTAGAACTCCATTTTTTCTATCGATTGAGTGCAAGAAACCACCCATTTACCGATTTCAACTATCCAATACAGTGGTCAGAATTTAGCAATTTTGCCAATTTCACACAAATTTCAAAAGATGCCAATTTCCAAATAGTGTCCAGAATAAACAAGAAAGACATTACTGGCACTAAAATGACATTTCCTCTGTTCATTAGTCACGTTCCGACACCTCTCTTACATTCTTTTGCTTTCCACTTTGAATTTTTATTCTCACAAAAATAGAAGATTTACTGTTATGCAGGCTACTGCATTAGTGTAAATAATGGTATAAATAATATCGGCACACTTGTGAAAGAATATTAGACTCACCAGTTGACATGTATTGAATGCTTAGCATGATTTGTTTACTTTTGAACTTTGGTAAAAATTTAGCATTTCTGCTATTTTGAGCTCAATTTCAAGGTACTTTTCATTGTAAAATCAGTCAAAATCATCTCAATTTCTGTAATATATTTTCCATTCTGTAGAATGAGATCAGGAAAACTAGAATACAACAATAAATACCATACGAAAATACAGTGCAAAGTCACTGTTTTAATCCAAAAACACTGTCAAAGTTTTTTTTTTTCTCATTACGCACTGTGTGCTGCAGGATTTTTTTATACTGCGCACACTGACCACCTAGACCCATTCTTTCATATGTAGGCCTACCAGCTTTCTCTCACTAGATTTGAGGGCACTAGAATTTAGGCGTACTAGTACGTCAAAAACCCTGGTGCGTAAGCCGTACTAGTACGGCCGAAACCCTGAAAGGGTTAAAGAGAATGGAGAAAAAAAAGGATAACTAGGAGGGCATATAAATCTGAAGTGGAGGGAAGGAGGGGTAGGGGTTGTTTTAGGAAAGGTTAGAGAGATTGGGGGTAAAGGAGGTTTTGAGTGGTAGGGGCTTGGACTTGCAACAGGCATGTGTGAGTATGTTATATAGAAGTTAGGGGAGGCAAGGGGTTTTTATAATTTGACAGGCTGTAGGAATGTTAGCGAGGTAACATTTATGAAGGAATTGAGGAAAACTGGTGAGCCGGATTTGAGGCCTGGAGGTGGGAAGCAAAGTGCCTGCACTCTTGAATGAAGGGTTGGGATGTTATGGTTTGGAGGGTCATCTGATCTATAATGTTAGTGCACTTCTGGAAAGACAGTGATTGAATTAGAGATAGCGTATTTTCATATTTGTTGGGTCAGCCTTCCTCAGTGGGAGATGGCCGGAGTGTTAAAAATATTGCAGCTGTACAGTATGTATTTTGCACACACAGAATTACTAATAGAAATGTGATATCAAATAATAATGATTTTGCATAAAGCAAGGTAACCTATACAAGTTTTACATTAGAGTAAACTCTCTGTGTAATGGACAAATAGGAGGGGGATTGTCCCTATGTTTGTTAAATCAGAATGATGTGAAAATAGCAAAAATGCATGAAAGTACTCTACTGTATACAATTTACAGTTATGCTACAATGACAGTTAAAAATAAAAAAGTTAAAAATGCATTTTGTTCAGATATTGTCCATTACTTTATAGTCTATTATATCAGGTTTCAAACCATACCAAGGGTAGGGATTGAACTCATGACGAGTGAATCGACATGAGTTCAGTCCCCATCACGAGTGTAATCATATTATGATTTCATTTTTCATGTCGGGTTTCATTTTATTGAGGGTTTATTGTAACAAATGTCACCTGTGACTTGATTTGATTTATGCACTCAGTATGTTACCTACATCTGGTACATCACACTGGTATATCTTCATGCAAACACCTAACCATATACTACATGTATTGTGTATGCAGTACTAATTCCATTGGTGGTTATGTGTAAGAGTAACTCATGCTTATAAGCTTATTTTTCATGTTTGAATATTGAGGATGTTTATCTTGTAGGGTGGTGTGGAGGATGGTGTGTGTACTACTGATGGCGGGTGCCAGGATTCAACAGGCACTGCACCTAGTGAAGAGAAAAGTAAGTTGTAAAGAATGATCACTTGACCTTAAGGTATTTCCCTCTCTTTCTCCTTTGTTCCTCCTCCCTTCCCTCTTCTTGTCTTCCTTTTTTCCCTCACATCATCCCTTTTTCTCTCTCTCTCCTTCCTTCCTTCCTTCCTTCCTTCCTTCCTTCCTTCCTTCCTTCCTTCCTTCCTTCCTTCCTTCCTTCCTTCCTTCCTTCCTTCCTTCCTTCCCTCCTTCCTTCCTTCCTTCCCTCCTTCCTTCCTTCCTTACTTCCTTACTTCTTCCTTCCTTCCTTACTTCTTCCTTCCTTCCTTCCCTCATTCGAGTTTAGAGGTTTAATGTGATTATGATAATACCAGTAATTACATATGTTAATATCTTAGCCAGACTTGAGTCCTGGAGATGGGAAGTACAGTGCCTAAACTCTGAAGGATGGGTGGGGATATTTGCAGTTCAGAGAAACATTCCAACTATAGTATTGGCACATTCTGACAAGACAGTGGTAAAGTGAATGATGGTGAAAATGTTTTTTCTGTTTTGTGTCATCATACTTCGGTGGAAGACGGTTGGTGTGTTAAATACAGATACAGCCTCTCCTCACTTAGAGATGTACTCGTTTACTGACACCTCAGACTTACGACAGGCTCTCTGACTGTATGTATGCCTAAATAATGTACGTACAGTAGGGCCTCGCTTTATGGCGTTTTGCTTAACGGCATTCCACTAATACAGACATTTCAAATTATGACCAAAACTCGCTATACGGCTCCCTCCCACCTGACTTTCTAATACGGTCACCGCGCCTCACCTAGTTTGTTTATGTTCTCCGTGTGCTTCATGAGCTCCACATCTCTCCATTATGTCTGGAAACTCCAAAATTTCAAGTTTTTTAAAAGTTATTTCATATTTTATATATATACAGTGGACCCCCGCTTAACGAACACCTCCAAATGCGACCAATTATGTAAGTGTGTTTATGTAAGTGCGTTTGTACATGTATGTTTGGGGGTCTGAAATGGACTAATCTACTTCACAATATTCCTTATGGGAAAAAATTCGGTCAGTACTGGCACCTGAACATACTACTGGAATGAAAAAAGTTCGTTAACCGGGGGTCCACTGTATATATATATTTTTTTTTTTTTTTTTTTTTTTTCAACAAGTCGGTCGTCTCCCACCGAGGCAGGGTGACCCAAAAAAGAAAGAAAATCCCCAAAAAGAAAATACTTTCATCATCATTCAACACTTTCACCACACACACACACATTATCACTGCTTTTGCAGAGGTGCTCAGAATACAACAGTTTAGAAGCATATACGTATAGAGATACACAACATATCCCTCCAAACTGCCAATATTTTATATATACAGTGGACCCCCGTATAACGATCAGCTCCCAACTCGACCAATTATGTAAGTGTATTTTTGTAAGTGCTTTTGTAGGTGTATTTTTGGGGGTCTGAAACGGACTAATCTAATTCACAATAACTCTTATGGGAACAAATTCGGTCTATAACGGCACCCAAACAGACTTCTGGATTGAAATAATATCGTTATCCGGGGGTCCACTGTACTCTGATAATTATACTTACGTATACCTGCACCTGAATAAACTTACACACTGTGCTGGCATGCAGGTGCACATTAAAATCTGTAAGAGTGTGTCATGTCTCGAGATAACATATTAGTAATGATAATACTCAATAATAATCACTGAGTCTCATTCAGTGTCGTATATTACGTTAATACAGTGGACTCCCAAGCAATAAAGGCATCATAACAATAAATTCCACTAACAAAGCGTGTGAGCAAAAAAGTTTTGGCCTGACCAATGATGAAAAACTCGACCAACACGATTCGTCCCGAACGCGTCCACCTGTCCTGTCTGGCCTAAGCGTGCCTTAGCTGCCCTGCTTTCAGTTAGTGTGCCAGTGTTTACAAGCCAGTGCGGTCACTTCCACGCATACATTTGGTACATTTTGTATTATTCCAGTGTTTCTAGTGCTTGTAACTGCTAAATAAGCCACCATGGGCCCCAAAAAAGCTTCTAGTACCAACCCTGTGGTAAAAAGGGTGAGAATTACAATTGAAATGAAGAAGGAGATTATCACAAAGTATGAAACTGGAGTGCATGTCTCCGAGCTGGCCAGGTTGTATAACAAACCCCAATCAGCCATCGCTACTATCTTGGCCAACAGAAAGTCAATCAAGGAAGCTGTTGTTGCGAAAGGTGCAAGTATGTTTTCGAAACACAGATCGCAAGTACTTGAAGATGTTGAGAGACTGTTATTGGTGTGGATAAACGAAAAACAAATATCAGGAGATAGCATCTCTCTAGCGATCATAGGTGAAAAGGCAAGGCAGTTGCATGACGATTTAATTAAAAAAAGGCCTGCAGCTAGTGGTGATGTGAGTGAATTTAAAGCCAGCAAAGGTTGGTTTGAGAGATTTAAGAATCGTAGTGGCATACACAGTGTGATAAGGCATGGTGAGGCTGCCATTTCGAACAAATAAGTGGCTGAAAAATATGTGAAGGAATTCCAGGGGTACATAGAGGCTGAAGGACTGCAACCCCAACAAGTGTTTAATTGTGACGAAACAGGCCTGTTTTTGAAAGAAAATGCCAAACAGGACCTACATTACTCAGGAGGAAAAAGCACTCCCAGGACACAAGCCTATGAAGGACAGGCTTACTTTAATGTTGTGTAGTAATGCTAGTGGGGATTGCAGAGTGAAGCCTCTACTCATGTATCACTCTGAAACTCCCAGTGTGTTCAGGAAAAACAATGTTGTCAAGACTAATTTGTGTGTGATGTGGAGGGCAAACAGTAAGGCATGGATCACTAGGGACATTTTCTATGACTGGTTTTATCATGTGTTTGGCCCAACTGTGAAAAATTACCTCTTGGAAAATAAATTGGACCTTAAGTGCCTCCTGGTATTAGACAATGCTCCTGCTCATCCTTCAGACTTGCCAGAGCAAATTTTGGAGGAGTTGAGCTTCATATAAGTGAAGTTTTTGCCTCCTAATACCACTCCTCTCTTCCAGCCCATGAACCAGCAGGTCATTTCAAATTTAAAAAGAACTGTACACCAAAGCAATGTTTCAGAAGTGCTTTGAAGTGACCTCATACACTCGATTGACCCTAAGAGAGTTTTGGAAAGATCACTTTAGTATCCTCAATTGCATAAACCTTATAGGTAAGACTTGGGAGGGAGTGACTAACAGGACCTTGAACTCTGCTTGGAGGAAATTGTGGCCAGAATGTGTACAAGAGAGGCATTTTGAAAGGTTTGGGGCTAACCCTGAGGAGCCTATGCCAGTTGTGGAATCTATTGTGGCATTGGGGAAGTCCATGGGGTTGGAGGTTAGTGGGGAGGATGTGGAAGAGTTGGTGGAGGATGGCGATGAAGAACTAACCACTGATGAGCTGCAAGAGCATCTGCAATAGCAAGAGACCACAGCTGAGGAAATTGCTTCAGAGGAGGGGAGAGAGAAATTGAGAAAGTTTCCTTCTTCAACGATTAAGGAAATGTGTACAAAGTGGACAAAGGTGCAAACCTTTATGGAGGAAAATCACCCTGACACAGATATTGCAAGCCATGTTGGTGGCTTTTACAATGACAATGTTGTGACCCACTTTAGAAAAATCTTAAAGGAACGCGAGGTACAGAGCTCTATGGACAGATTTTTGGTGCGACAGAGGTCCAGTGAACTGTCAAGTTGTTCCCAGTGGCATTAAAAAACAAAGAAGGGAAGTAACCCCGGAAAAGGACTTGCTACCTAAAGTCCTTATGGAAGAGGATTCCCCTTCCAAAAATTAGTACACTTCCATCTCCTCTCCTCCCATCTCATCACACATCACTACATCATCAGTAAAGGAAAGTGTCATTTATTCTTCATTTAGTACAGTACATTGTTTATTGTGCATGTATCCTTCTTTTTCTGTGTAGGAAAATGTATATTTCATGTGAAAAAACAAAATTTTTTTATACTTTTGGGTGACTGGAATGGATTAATTGGATTTCCATTATTTCTTAGGAAGAAAATTAATTCAACTATCAATAAATTTGTTTAACGATAAGCTCTCTGGAATGGATTAATATCGTTGGTCGAGGGTCCACTGTATACACATTTTCATTAATTCATCTACGATATTTTTTTCAGAATTATACAATAAACACGATACATAATATATAATGATAAATACACCCCACAGTAGAATAAATTAACCCTTTCAGGATTTCTGACGTACTAGTACGGCTTACGCACCAGGGTTATTGACATACTAGTACGCCTAAATTCTAGTGCCTTCAAATCTAGCAAGAGAAAGCTGCTAGGCCTACATATGAAAGAATCGGTCTGTGGTCAGTGTGCACAGTATAAAAAAAATCCTGTAAAGTAAAAGGACACAAGTGCAACTAATGTGACATTTTATTGTGGCAACGTTTCGCTCTCCAGGAGCTTTATCAAGCTTGATGAAGCTCCTGGAGAGCAAAATGTTGCCACAATAAAATGTCACATTAGTTGCACTTGTGTCCTTTTACTTTACATATTGTCGGTAATTCTACCAACTTTATTACAAAAAAAATCCTGCAGCACACAGTGCATAATGAGATAAAAAAAACTTTGACCGTGTTTTTGGATTAAAACAGCGACTTTCACTGTATTTTCGTATGGTATTTATGGTTGTATTCTAGTTTTCCTGGTCTCATTTTATAGAATGGAAGACATATTACAGAAATTGAGATGATTTTGATTGGTTTCACACTGAAAAGTACCTTGAATTGAGCTCAAAATAGCAGAAATGTTCGATTTTTGCCAACGTTCAAAAGTAAACAAATCATGCCAAGCGTCCAATACACGTCAACTGGTGAGTCTGATATTCTTTCACAAGTGCGCTGATATTATTTATACCATTTCTACACTAATGCAGTAGTCTGCATAACAGTAAATCTTCTATTTTGTATGAGAATAAAAATTTAAAGTGGAAAGCAAAAGAAATGTAAGA